TAGGCATGAAAATTGTCAAATGTTATGTATACTCGACCCTGCTGTATGATGCGAAATCTTGGACAATGGACAAGCAACTATAAAATGTATTTGAATGTCTGAAAATCTGGATATACAGAAGAACATGTCGTATTTCATATAAATAAAAGCGATCAACTATGGATGTTCTGTAAATACTAAGAATGAAAAGAGAATTATTATAATAATTAAAAGATATAACACTCTTTTAAATACCATGCTGGCGGAAAGGGTCGAGGGCGAGAAAGCAAGAGGTAGACAGCGATACAAATGGGAGGACAACATCCAGAGATTGATAAACAGCAGTTTTAGAGCGTGTACATCCAGGGTTACAAAAAACATCGTTCTGAAGATCCCTTGAAGCCAAACTTCGCTGTGAAGACGTCAACTGATTGATGACTGAACCTTTTTGTTTAACGTACAGAGAGAATGTCTGTCTGTCTGTCTGTGTGTCTGTTTGTCTGTCTCTTTGTCCCTATGTTTCAGTGCGTCACTCTGTATTTATCTGAACGTTTCCCATATTGTCGGCGTCAGTGGCTTGCACATTGGGAATGCGCTTGTAATTCTGAAATACCCAGCTCGTTGATTTCGACAATGGCGTCGACAATCGACATTTGAGAAAAAGGCAGTGGTAATCCATGGAACGTAAATATGCATAGTAGAACCACACAGCCAAAAAAAGGGCTGATTTGGTTCTGCAACGTCCTGTTAAGGATGGGTCATTTAACGTCACTGGTTCCCGGCTCTCTAGCGTAGTTGGCTAAACCGGACTGCGCGGTGACCGGATGACGAATCTCCTTGTGGTCTGGGTTCGCGCCCGGGGGTAGGCAGAAAAGCCGCATTTCTCCCAGATTTACGGTATTTATCATGGAATCAAGGCCGAAGGGTTGCGATATCCATAATACCGAGCCTAAGGGTTAGCAACTCATGGCTTCTGGATACTAAAACAAAAAACAAAAAAACGTCACTGATAAGCTTTCACAGAGTTAAATCAAAGAATTCAAGATTAGCAGTTTTTCTGCGTGTAATGTGTCCATACTCACTGTTCAAACTATTGTTTGTGCCACTAAACGAGCTAGAAGAAAACAATGTTTAACACACAATTAATACGTCAGCTGTTTAATCTTACTGTAGATCGAAACTTTTAGGGACAGTCTTCGAGTACCCTCCTCAGTAGATTCCTCAGCTTGTGGCAACTTCTTCTTCCGCTTCTTTCTTCTTATGTCGTCTCATTGATACCAGATTGTAGCCCAGTGATGTGGTTTTCTGTATTTATCTTGCGCTTCTCAGGTAGCTCATGTGATGGATTTGTTCATCTTTTTTGCAGGATTCTGCAACACCATTTATCCATATCTTTCTTGGTCTTCCTCTCGCCCCCTTCCCTCATGTTCTGTTGTAAAAAGTCTCATATGCAGTATGGTCTAGCTGCATTCTTACTAGATGGCAGAACAAATTTCATTCTTTGTCTGTCAATATAATCCAGACATGGTCGTATTCTAACTTTCTCTCTAAAACTAGTATTCGTAAGCTTGTCTCTTCTTGTGTTGTTCGTGTAGCAACTGACCGCATCAATTCTGAATTGGTTCTGTCTTCTTCTTTATCTTCCTTTATAAAGCTCTTGTTTAGCTTCACACCAATTAAATTGCTGTTTTCGCAGTCTGGTCATGGTTATGAAAAGAAATGGGAGAAATTGATGAATATGGAATGGGATAAGTAAAAAAAAAAAAAACAACCAAGAACTCGTAAAAACGTCTGGGCAACCGCTGGTATTAATGATAACAGCCATAAGATTGAAAATATCGTCCAATATAGTTTATATCCACAGTTTAGAAATAAATGGCACGCGACAGAACTGAACGCTCTACGTAAAGGCACAACAATATGATGAGGATGGCGATAAGAAAGAAAAGGGACAGCTTGTGAGCCAAATTTTACTTTCCCAGAGGGAGGCGAGCAGGGGGGGGGGGGGGGGGGGGGGGGGTGGAGTGGAAAACTCGATCTTTTCCACTAACGACTAGCTTGCGTGCACAATTTTCTTTTTAAATTTGAAAATGACCATTCGGTGTTAAGTTCCATCGGTCTTACTCTGAAAACACTTGGTGGCTTTGATTCTGTAGTTTCACCCGGTATATCACGTGACTGGTGTAAGTGACAGAAAATAACAGCTATCGCTGCTGGGTAATTTCCGGGATTATCTTCTGCTGAGTTTTAGAGATGACGAAGACAAGGACAGGATTTTTCTTCTGAGCTTAGGGGCAATCATTGTGAAAGATCATATGTGGTACAGTGTGGTTATTGAGAAAATGCTAAATTATGTGAGTGAGGAGAAGGGGGTGGGCAACAGTTCTGCAGAATGTGTGAGGGTAGTGTGCGTCTAAGTATAAATGGGAACACGTAATGTTAATCTGACTGACTGACTTTCTACCCCACCAGGACATCACACAGGCGATAAACACCCGATGACACAAAGTGCCACCATGTGGATGAGGATCACCGTGGAGAGGTCCCGGAAACCGTCTTCGGTCATTAGACCATATTTATTGTCGGGCTATATTGTGGCCCCTAGCAAGAGCCAAAGTAGGGCTTCAAATAACGAAAAATTGCACCCCACAAGGGGATGACAAAGATGCTTGAAAGTTATTCTCCCCACGCCCCGCCTATTTACCCAGTTCTGATTGGTAGTTCCTGAGCCTTGTGTTCCTCATGACTGTTAAATTAAACATTGTAGTCATAATGGCAAATGAAAGTGTAACCTGCGTTTTGGTCACGGTTTGGGAGAAGTTAACACTTCATTTATACAAAGCACACGAAATACAAAAGGTTGTTTTTTGATTGTTTGTATAGATGTATTTTTATTGCCATCAAATTTGCCTGCGTTTTCAAGATTTTTCTACGATTGTAAGATTTATTAATTTGTCCTCAAGAACAAAGATAAGTGGTGGAAACAACAACAAACTAAGACTAGACAGACAGCCTCTGTGATACAAAATTAAAACTGACAGGAAGACGGCGTCCATGTTCCTTCTGTCTCCATTCCTCCCATATCCCCTTCTTTTCTTGTGTTTCTCTGATACACTTGAACATAACACTTCAAATACTAACAAACGGCAACACGTGTACTACAGACTGACAAAATGCAAGCAACAGACAAAACATTTTACACTAAAGCAATGAAACACGTAACTCGCAAACATACAATTTGGAAATAAAGGGAAATGCCCTCCACCCCCTTTTCTGCCCCCCAACCCCAAATAAAAATTAAAAAAAAAAAAAAACATTTCTCCTCCAGACAGTAGTCCAACTGTTGAGACACATTTGAAATTGGTTGTGAGCAGTATATGGTCACTGAATTAAGTGTTATGGACAATGAGTCATGAATTAGGTGCTTAAACAAAATTGTGTCCTCGAGTGTAGCTAGTCTTATGATCCATCACCAGCTCCAGAGTTACCCTTGATTAGGCCCTAACCTATATAAAGTTGTGGGTAACAGCCTTTAAATCTAGCCACTCCAGCGACAGAGTTCGCAAGTTTCTTGAACGTCGCTTTTTTTACATCTTGAGAACTCTGGCCGCCCAGTGGACTCAACTGTCAATACAGCTTCACTTAAACCTTAGGGGGCTGTAGTACCTACACAGTTTCATCTTATCCTCGAATGAAGGCGCCTGGAATATCCCCGTTTATCCACTTTCTTGGCCCCACGTGCCTCGTCAGACCATTGTCTTGACATCGACCCGGCTGCCACGAGATACGAAGATAAGTGATATTGTATATTTGTATAGTATTGTCTATTCTATCTATGTGCCGAAGAAGGCTCTATAGCCGCAACGTTCACGTTTTGTTTGCTTTTGTTATAGGGTGAAGCTCGCTGACATACTTTTCGTTAGGTTTTATATATTTTCTTGATATATAAAGCTCAGCATGTGGTCCCTACTGTTTTAAAATACATCAGATAATCTCAAAAAAAAAACTACGCTTTTTAAATGTATGGATAATGGACGTTTATAGTTGTTTTAATTGTTGTTGAAAGAAGCAATAAAGAATGTGTCTGCAAAGACACATGCATTATATTATATAATCTTTTTGAAGGCTCTATTAAATGAAAATTGATTTGTGAAGGAGAAAAAAAAAAGAGAAATGTGTTGACATCCCTGCAGATTCCAAGACCCTCACCTTAACTCTTTGTCCATCAGCATTATTATCATGTAGCACACATATCGCCGACCCATATTTCTTTACCACTAATTGTGTTTTTTGTTTTCTTCTGTGGGTAGTCCTTTTTGTTGTTGTTGTTTTGAATACACTATTTTCTGTATACATTATTTTCGTATTATCTTTTTTTTTTTTTTTGGGGGGGGGGGGGAAGAGCACACGTAACGTTAGTCTTCCTATGCCCCGCCCATATACACTCTAGCTCACTTCGTATTGGTAATTCCTGAGCCCTGTGACCTTCGTACAAAGTCAGAGGGGTGTTCCGCGATTCCGTTGATATTGCGTGTTGTATATTCCTGCACGCCAGCGCTTTTAATATTCCAAAAACATGGAGATACTGACCCTAACACAACCCCAAAAGAGAGTGCTGCAACCTGTGTCACATGCATTTTATTTCTCGGAATGAAAACGTAAATGCAAGACAACGCAGAAAGCAAACAACAGAACAGGACACACCCGTAACCTTCAGAAAAGTTGACCAGCCCAACAAACTTGTGAATAAAAAGTGATCAACACTACTTGTGGAGATTAACGTGAACCTAATCTGTGTTTTAAATTCAGAAACAGATTTTGATTTTCTTTGTATTTTTGCTGGGATTACCAGTTTAATGTTTTCATAAGAAATGAAAATAAACATCGACAAATATTTAACTAGATGAAAGATAATAAAGAAAAATTACACACACACACACACACACACACACACACACACATGTGCAGACACACAGAAAGACACACTGATATACAGAAAAGGACATTTTAGGATGACTCACGAGCATTGGTGACAGCGAAACTGTCAGTGATATCCAGAACTGAAGTCTCATTCTGCACATGGAAGCGGTAGGTGTGCGAGTAGGCTCTGTTAACCAGGTGTATTTGATGTCGGAAGGCGGTCAGTGCCTGGACTGACCTCTGGTCGAAGATGCCACCTGGAAGTATTGATAAAATGTAAATAATCAAGTTTCAATGAAGGTTAATTGCGTATCCTTTACAGGACGTTACAGAACCAACCCCAGCAGCCCCTGGCTGTTGTGTGGTTTCTCTAGAAAAATTTCCGTCCAGTAGTTTGCCATTGCTTCCTAGACGGTCGGCCCCTGGTACCAAGTGTCGAAATCAACGCAAGGCGCATGGCCTTCAGCTGGGATCGAACCCAGCACACCGGCATTACGAAGCGTTCGCATCAACTTAGCCACAGAGCCGACAAAGTTGCAATACTATAATTAATATTTCACAACGTACAGGATCTTGTCTATACTTTGAGCAGGTGTATAGTAACAGATACCTATCCTTGAGGACATATGGTGCTGAATGTATACACCAGGAATTTCTTTTGAAGTAAAACCAACAGGCACGATGTTGACAGCATCCCCCCTTGTCAGTTTGTCTATAAATAAAAGGCAACCATCAGGAACCAGATGGGGTTTTTGGCCTCAGCAGGTGTCTTTTACTTCAAATATCCGAGGTTTCCTATTTGATTCCAGCTGCTGTGATTTGGCAACAACCCGCCATGCGTAGATTGCGACCAAGAGTAGGTTTAGTAGAGGGGAAGAGGAGAAGAGGCAGAACAAGGAAGACATGGATACAGAACCTGACTGAATGGATAGGTCTTTGGCAGGCAACCAGGAAGTTCATCGCATCTGACCGTCAAAGATGGTGGGAGCTGATCGGACAGTCAACAGCAGCTGGTGACCCAACGACACCCAGTGTTATGGGATGATGAGTATTAGAGCCCACTGTTTAGCTCTTTGAGTCCCAAGGAACGCATCAGACGTATATAGGTCCCGTGTAGAGCCCCAATAAGATGCGCCGATTTGACATCAATTTTGACTACCCCTTGGGCCTCTGATGCTAAACCCCCTGGGACTCAAAGAGTTAAGGGCAGTGGCAAACTATTCAATGTAAAATTATCTAGTAAAACCTAAAACAGTCAGTAAATGCTAGGGCTGGTTCTGCGACGTCCTGGAAAAGGACACGCAACTAACTTCTATTTTACTGACTCTTTATTCCATAATTTCCGTTACCCGAGTTTACAGCCCAGCCCCAAATATCCGCACTAATAGAAATCCAAACATACAATATCAGATCAACATTTACTTCACTTTTTGCTGAGTGTACAACTTAACCTCCAGTTTCCAAGATATCAGAAATCCAAACAAACAGTACCAAAGCAGCAGTTACTTCCCTTTTGCCGAGTATACAGTCTGGCCCCGAATATCCCCACTATCAGAAATCCAAACAAAAATATCAAAGCGAAAGTGACTTCAATTTCTGTGCCATGGAAATGTCAATTTTCAAGGGAACCCATTTCCTGACGAACTCTTGGTGCCAGACGAAGAAATCGATTTCTGACAATCACCGAAATGCATTTACAAACACACTTGTTTGCTGTTTAAATTCCCATTTGTCAACACTACCCGGCATGATCCCTACATGAGTTTTTAGAGACTTGGAAAATAGAGTATCTTGGCTCCAGCTGTATTTTGACAGCACGAGTTGTGAAGGAGGATTTAAAAAATTGACTATTTTGGATACAACTGTATTTTGGCAACAAGATATGAGGTGCAGGAATGTTAGACAATTGAGTATCTTGACTGCAGCTGTATTTGGCAACAAGAGATGTGGTGCATGAGGATTAGAAAATGGACTATTTTGGGTACAGCTGTATTTTGGCAACAAGATGTGGGTTGCAGGAATGATAGACAGTTGAGTATCTTAACAGCGGCTGTATTTGGCAACAAGAGATGTGGTGCAGGAGGATTAGAAAATGGACTATTTTGGCTCCAGCTGTATTTGGCAACAAGATATGTGGTGCATGAATATCAGACAGTTGAGCAGAGTAGCCTGGCTGCGGCTGTATTTAGCAACAAGAGATGTGGTGCACGAGAATTTGAAAATAAAGTATCTTGGCTCCTGCTGTATTTGACAACAAGGGTGCAGGAGGAAAACAAAGCATATAGTACTCGTATTTTGCCTGATATGTCTCTGGCACACACACACACACACACACACACACACACACACGCACACACGCACGCACGCACGCACGCACGCACGCACGCACGCACGCACGCACGCACGCACGCACGCACGCACGCACGCACGCACGCACGCACGCACACACACACACACACACACACACACACACACACACACACACACACACACACACACTTTGTGTAGGAAAAATTAGAAAAGTCGTAAACTGGCTCTCACTGGACTCGGTAACATGAGATAGCTTACAGAATGTGCTGAAGTAGACAGGGAGAATAGAGTATCTGGGCTAACGCTGGCTAACATTGTATTTGTCAACGAAAGATGGTGTATATGACAGTAAGGCTTCTTGTCTCTGATCTCTTTTTTGTGTGTCTGTAAACAGATGCGGCGGATGAGAAACAAAAGAAAGAGTATGTATATTACAGGAGCGAGATTGTGGTCTATGTTAATGTAAGAGTAGCATTATATATATATAAATTCCCCATGTTTGTTTCCTTTACCCTGTTGTAGGGAAAACAAGAATAGACCCACTGCCCACCCAAAAGCACGTCGTAAGAGTTGACGAATTGGGAGATTACTTCAGAGTCAGAGTGCATCTGCCTGAGAGGCAAGGAACCAACAGTCTGCACAAAAATTAGTCAGATCTGTCAAACGGATGCACATGCAACACTCACGCTCTGAAATAGGAGAACTGCTGTCCAGAAGTGGACGAGCAACCAGAACGTTCCGCCGGAGATCACAGTCATTGAACACGAAGAAGAAGAAATATAAATATAATATATATATACATTGTGTGAGTGTGTGTGTGTGGGTGAGAGAGAGAGATAGCAAAAAACTTCACTGGAGTACGGCACGGAACTTTTTGTTGGGGCGTGTAAGGGCTTAGGCGTGGCGAACCCGCTTCGTAATGTCAGGGTGTCGGGTTTTATTCCAGCCGCAAGAGATTTGGCAGTAGACCGCCTTGCATTGGTTTCAACATTTGTACCAAGAGCCGACCGTTTAGCCAGCAATGAAAATGACATGGAAAACTACTAAACATAGCAATTTTCCCTTAGAAAAACAGCAACAGCCGTTCAAATCAAATGCTGGAGTTCATTCTGTAACGTTCATGTAAATGATACACAACTAACTTTATATATATATATATATATATATATATATATATATATATATGATATATATATATATATATATTAAATATATATATATAAGAATGCTTAGAATACCGGGAACAGCTAAAAAAAAAATGCAACCAAGAGGTGTTGAAAGAGGCGGGGAGATTGAAGACAAACCAAATCTAGAAGTCAGAAAGGAGGAACCCAGTTCCATAGTTTTCGGCAAGGTTATGAGAAAGGGAAAATATGAAGATGTTGTGGACCACTGGAACGACTGTGGAAGGGGGATGAGGAAGAAACGAGATGCTTGACAGTCTTGTTGCAGGGGATGGGGGGTGTGTCGGCCAAAAAACTGATAAGTGCTGGAGATCGCAGGTTTTTGGAGAGGGTGATCGCCAAAACCTTGAGAGATGATATATAAAAATAAATATAGGTGTGGAGTGTTGGATCGGTATTTGCATAAAAAATTTTTGTAGTCCATTTTTATTTTCCACTCTTGCATGCGCCTTCCATCTTTATTCCACCTTTTTCCACGTTTCTCTATCGTCGTTTTTTCTGTTTTCTTTCTTATTTTAACGACAAACACAAAACCCAAACGCCACATCTGCAATCCCCCACATGCCCCATTTTTATCCCCCATCCCATTTTTATCGGCATTTCATTTTTCCATCATTCAGAACTCACTAAATCCCCACCCGATTCGTCCCAAATTTCCCTCGCTCACCCATTTAGGGCCAACAAACCCCGACCGGCGAAGGATAAAAGTAAATTTGAAATTTTTTCCATCATTTAGAGCAGTTCCACAGTTTAATAGCTTTGATGAGGCCAGGGGTTACCCCGAAAATTTTGTTAGCCCTGCCTCGTGGGCTAGCTTCTTTTCCCTTAAATCTGATTTTTTTTTTTCGGGTGCGTGCCCTCTGTCTTTTTACTTTTTGTTTTGTATCTTGTCAAAAAAACACGCACAACTTGGGGGGGCGAAATAGGGACACCACATCTTTGGGTGCAATTTGGGGTTTTCACCGTCATTTCTTCTTCCTTTCTTCTCCTTTCTTCCCTTTTTTCTTTTTCCCTTTTTCCCTTTCCTTTTTTTCCTTCTTCTTCTTCTTCTTCCCCTCCCCCTTCTTTTCTTTTCCCTTCCTTCTCTTTTCTCTTCTTCTTTTTTCTTTCTTTCTTCTTCTTTTTCTTCTTCTTTTTTCTTCTCCCTTTTTTCTTCTTTTCTTCTTTTTTCTTTGGCTTCTTCTTTTTTTTCTTCTTTTCTTCTTTTCTTTTTTTTCTTTTTTTCTTTTTTCTTTTTCTTCTTTTCTTTCTTCCTTCTCTCTTTTTTTCTTCTTCTTCTTTTCCCCTTTTTCTTCTTCTTCTTTTCTTCTTTTTTCTTTTTTCTTTTTTTTTCTTTTCTTCTTTTCTTCTTTTTTTTCTCTTTCTTCTTTCTCTTTTTTCTTCTTCTTCTTCTTTTTTTTCCTCTTTTCTTTTTTTTTCTTTTCTTTTTCTTTTTTTCTTCTTCTTTTTTCTTTTTCTTCTTCTTCTTCTTTCTTCCTCTTCTTCTTCTTCTTCTTCTTTTTTCTTTTCTTTTCTTCTTTTCTTTTCTTTTTTCCTCCCTTTTTCTTCCCCGTCCTCCCTCGCCCCCCCCCTCATCTCTCCCCCTCTGCTTTCTTGTTTAATCCTCTTGTGATATGTGGGCTAGAGATCTTTTTTTTATTTTTTTCATATCGACTATTAACAATTTGGGGTTAATCATATCAAAGAAAAAAAAATATTAAAAAAAAGATAATCAGTCAACGGA